ACACACACACACACACACACGTCGCGCGCACACACAATATAACCAAAGAGTGACATAAGAATATTTATTTTGTTTCACAAAATATTTCGACTGATAGCTTTTTTAAATTATTCAAACCGGAAATAGCGAACCCGGAAATAAAGTTCACTATCATTTACCTGCTCCTTGGCCAGAACAGGAAAGACCAGTACCAACGTTCAAAATGGTAAGTTTATCCTGCTGTATACTCAATTGATACTAATGTGCCACTTTTTATGCATTTATATCAATTAATTATTGGGGTGGACATGTCTCAAAGAAGCTGGAACGTACGATTGAAGTTATGTTAGAGAGTAGATCTACTCCACTCCCCACTTTTACTACAGGGACATTCCGATCATATTTGGTCATGATGCATCGTACAGCCTTGCCGTGAAAAATAGAGCCCTCTAATCCTCAAATACATCGTTGTATTAAGAAGCAGTGTATTATAGATTTTAAATCCTTAAAATCATGTTCTTCTCGCTTAGCTCTATCATAAGTGTGAACATTTTAACATGCCGATGATTGGGTGTCCCAACAAATGGTCTGACTGATGAGAACCTATGAAGTGTGAAGAGACACACCCATAAAATGACACTGACAACTGACACTGTCAGTCGAAATGTAATGCTGAAATAACAATGGCAATTGATACTATCTCACAATGTTCCATTAAAAAAAAAAATTGCTTAGCTTAGTACCTACTCTATGGTATTGTGTGTATGGTATGTGATTTCAAGGCGAAAGGATGAGGCAAGTTCCAAGTTCTTTTAAATCTTTGATTTTGATGAATCATAGAGAAAGAAGGCTGGCATTATTCTCACTCGCTCTGAGAATGCAACTAAGGCATGGTACTACCCTATCGCATTGTGATGCTGTTGTTTCATTTTCAACCAGAAAAAATTTCAGCTATTTATGTGATTTCTGTTTCAATGTCTTTTGAACTGGTGCACAAGGCTTTGAGGCTCTGTTGTTAGGGATTTGGTTGAAAAACTGAAAGAGGTTTGGGACAGATCTAGATTCTAGGTCTAGATCTAGATCTAGAATCTACTGCTTAGGGGCGTTAAAACATTTTTTAAAAGATTTTTTTTTTGTGAGTTAGATCTAGAATCTTTAACTCATTCGCTACGCCGAGCCGTGGGGGGCGGCGCGGCTCAAATGCCGCCAGTACGCTAAGCCGCCCCCGGCGGCTCGAGAACCGATGTTCAATTTTAGCTTGGTTTCTATTCCAATCCACATATCCATGTTAAAATAAAGGTCATGATATAATGTTGACTTTCGGGTCAAGCGTTTCCACCGAAAATCGGAAGTTTTGATTCAGTTTTGAAACATGATTTCGTAGTTTATTCGACTTTGTTTTATCGCGAAGCCCAAATTATAGCCCAGGCACCAGTCTTAGTACTTTAACACAACAAAATGTATCATTATTTTGCTCACTAAAGAAGTGTAGGACTGTTCTTTATAATATTGATACTACTGGACTCAAATTGCCATTGTGCACTGTAATTGAGAAATCAATATTTTTGAGTGCTAGATCTAAGCCTAGATCTAGTAGTCATATATTTTTTTCTCCCCAAAATCATTACTTTTGGGTGAAATTAATCAAAAAGTACCACTCAAGACATGTATAGGTTTATTCCAAATGCAATTCTGAATAATTCCATATAAGTTTGTTCTGTTTGTGATCCTTTTTTCAAAATTATTTTAAAAAATTTTTTTTTTCCATATCGGATGTTATGATCCAAATGTACAAATATTATGGAATGTATGTAAATAACTGCACATTTTTCTATATTTTCCTGTTCTATATACAGTTATGGTTATTTTGAGGTATCATTTGACTAGGTGCAAACATTTTTTTTTTAGTTTCACCTGACCTGAGATTATAAATTTTTTATTTTCCAATTTTATCCGCATCCAATCACAATTGTGTTGCATAATCGCCTCTTACAGGAACCAAAGTTGAAAAATACGCAAATAAATAATGCAAATGTATTCTACAAACCATACTGAAAATGTTGGTATATAATATGTTGATATTTATTTGAATTTATGGCCCCAAAGACCTGTGAACTGCGCACTAGTCATCTCATTTCGCCCTCCCGAAAAGAATTCGTCCACAAGCCGAAAATAATACGTAGCGAATGAGTTAACAGATGATCAGTGTTGAACCCCAACATCCCATAGCCTAACTCAAAACCTAAACGGAATAAAAAGGGCGGGGAAACAAAAAAACTGGGTGAGAATAATATATATGAAGTATTCTCACCCCGACCGGTCATAGAAAGTAGTGGACACACTTAGGGTGGTAGACCTAATTGTTAACATACGTATATAATATATATATATATCTAGTATCTCCCATTTGAAAGAGATCAGTTCCTTTCAAAGGATTTTTACTTTTTAATAGCAATGATGTATGTATGGTCAAATGATATGTGATGTGATTGGGCGATCTCAAATGTCTTCCTGTTGAGGCTCATGTTGTTCAGTTGAGTTGTTGTGTGGAGAGAAAAGGGTTGGAATGGGCTTTAGGAGGAGGCGAATATGTTGCTGAGACCAGAAGTTGTGACTTGAGAAGGAGGAAAAGTGCGTTGATGGTATGGTCATCGTGTCATGGCGACAGAGTAACGCTGTGACAATTAACATGGCATTAATTGCGACAGAGTGAACACGGAGCTCTTTTGCGTTGATGATTAGATCTAGATCTAGTGTGTGTGTGCGTGTGTATCATATATGTGTATTTTTGTGTGTGTGGGTGGGTGTGTGAGTGCGTGTGCGTTCATATCTGTGTGTGTTTTTATTATCTTTTTTCTTTCTAAATTTTTTTTTTTGGTCACAGTCTCGCTCTGTTGCAATTAACACCGCATTTATTGTCACAGCGTCACTCTGTCGCACACTAGGAGCAACAACAACAAGACAAGAGCTTCGACTGTCTTTGTTAATTTGTTAGTTTGGTGTGTGTGTGTGTGTGTGTATAAGGCCACAAACATGTGCGGTGTGCGTTTGTGTGTGTGTGTGTTTGTTTTTCTTTTTTCTTTTAAAATTCTTTTTTTGGGGGGGGGGGGTCACATACTCACTCTGTCGCAATTAACGCCGCATTAATTGTCGCAACGCCACTCTGTCGCTATTAACGCTACCAAAACAAAAAGAGCTTTCTTTTGTTTGTTTTTTTCTTTTTATCCTGAGCAGGCCATTTGTTGAACATTTTGAAGAAAGAAATTCAATGGTATGAGGCAGGTTTCACAATTTGGTGTGCACTGGGGTGCTGTAATGTTTCAATGCATATATAAATGTTTCGTTGAAATAAATATTTTTTCAAACTGTGTGTTGTGTTTGCTTTAAAAAAGTAAGCTAGAATACCGTTAAAATTTGTCGTTTTTTGTATTGTTCATTTTTTATGACTGATCTTAAGACGTTTATCGTCACTTTTCAGAAAGGCACCCTTTCTGATTAGATTGCTCATCTGGATAAAGCCGAAAACTCCTTTTTCCATAGAGCCGTTACTTGTGTAGAATTTGGAAAATTGCCTGAAAAAGTAGATACAACAGCAAATCTCAAGCCTACTCATGATGTCCTTAGACCTAGGGTTAATGTACACTGTATTCTCTTTTTACCACATATAGTTATTTAATATTCTTTTCCCATTGATTTTCTGTGTTTACATGATGTATTTTTGGCCCCTAAAAAACTTCCAATTGTTTTTATTTTTATGATTTTCAGGGGAGTTAAATCAATAACTAGAAATAATGGGCCTCTAAATTCGCTATTTTTCCGTGAATTTCCATTAAAACCGGCAAGGCACCGGATGATGATGATGAGACTCATTCCTTCATATTTGTTTGACTGGTGGTTTATTGTTATTTTTATTATAGTTATTGAAAGAGAAATCCTAACAACAATAATCAACCAACAGTTGAACAGAAATACAGTTATGAGTCAACAAGCATCAAATTGATACCCTCACGATTCTCAGTTTGTAGCTATTCCCGTTTTTCCTGTGGACTCCTCAATTGTAAAGGGATTTGTTTATTTTTTGTGTGGCTCCAACCTACTAGGTTTGCTTTGTTGATAGCGGTACTGTTCTTGGTTTTTATTTATTCAACAAAACTACCGAAGTAAGGTCAGGGAAAGAAAATTGATCAGGAGTGCTTCCTCATATACAGATGAAACTGGTTGAGTGCAGTAGGCCGCTGCACCCGCCCGTCTAGATCGAATCCAGGGTCAAAGTGGCGTGTTGGTGAGAGAAGCCACTCCTCAGCCACCAGGATCCCCTTCTCCGGTCGGATGGGCCGCATCCCACAGTCAACAGGGTGCCTCGCTTTGCGGGGATTCAGGGTCCATTTTTTTGCTTGACCAGACCTTTGGTCGACAGATCGGAAAGAAAGATAGATGGACAGTAAGACATAGCAAGTACAGGCAAAAGATGCCACCCCCACGTCAGAGAGCTAGTGACATACGAGTGGCATCCCATCAGTGGGGGGGGAAGGGGGGGGGGATTTAGCCCTCAAATCTATGCATCTGTGTGTGGGTGCATAAGTTAAAATTTACCGTATTCTCAGACCGGGTGAGAATAGGCAGTGGTTATTCTCACCGTGGGTGAGAATAACCTATGTCTTACTATTCTCACCCCCTCCCAAGAGGGATCAGGGCTGAGGTTGCCGGGGCTGATGCTCCACAGGATCGTGTTGGTGTCCGAATAGACATAGATCTAGATGTAGTCACAGTCAGGGTTGTCAGATTGGCTTGCAGCCAAATCCCATAAATTTGGCTCTTTTGGATAGGGTGTGGCCCGAAGAATTTCATTTGGCTCTTTTTTGACTCCAAACACCGAATGTTCAAGAAGAAGGGGACACAAGAGGCAAGAAAATTAGAAAAAGAAAGAATAAACGAAAAAAAAATGAAAGTGAAGGAAAGAGCTTGAATTGCTTAATAAAAATTTTAAAACTAATTAACACGATTTAAACGCCCGCGCCCGTTTGGTCTGAATCATTTACAACCCTTCTACTGTTGTGCAAGAGCTTTATTGGCTCAGGGGTGTGTCTCGTTACGTTTGTACACGCTTTCTGTTCCTTGAACCATAATTAATTTATTGTGTGCAGGCAGAAAGTGAAAGGCCTACCATCATTAAGGGGGGGGGAAGGCTACACTTGAAGGCTATCTTGCTTATTACTGGAACAAATTTTACAAAATTTCGAACATATAACAAGCATAGTAAGGAGTCTTAAAATCTGTCTTGCTCTATTACTCTATGTGTGTTTGCAAGGCTACAGGTGAACTGGGGTTATAAAATTACTTCTGATCTTTGTTGTGTTAGAGTAGACAGTTTTCATGGTGCCGGTTTAGTTGAAGGTCTCCTGCAATGTTTTTGGTTTAGTTGACGGTCTTCTGCCACACTGGTCAGACAGCTGGTTTCGTTGAGGGTCTACCGTGCAGTTTCTGGTTTTTATTCTGGCTTTCAACTGTCGTATAGGCCATTTAAAAAATGTTTTAGTTGTTATTGTATTTTGTTGCGATGCAGAACTCTTCATAAAATATGTAGAAGCTTAAAAACAATTTTGATTAATGTCTTTTTGGCCTCTGTAGTGTGGACTCTCGCATTCATAAAATGAATAGAATGTCCCAAAGGGTGCAAATGCATTTTATTTTAAAATCAGGGGATTGTCAAAGTTTCTACCAGCATTTAATTATAAAGAAAATACTATCAAGGAAGATGAATAGTCAGTTTTTTTCAAACTTTTTTTTTTATTTCTGTTGTTTAGTCTAAGTACTCGGAAGAAGACATCCAGGAGATCCAGGAAACTTTCACCCTCTTTGACACACGTGGGGACAACAAGATCGCCGCTAGTCAGCTGGGAGATGTGCTGAGAGCTTTGCACCAAAACCCAACAGAGCAAGAAATCAGAAAATGCGGCTACTCACAGAACCCAGGTAAACAAAAGCTTCAGGGAATGTAATCTCTTTTGTCTATAATTTGAAGTTTTCAATTACTTTTGAAAATGATGACAGGTGGTCACAAAAGCTTTTCTCATAATCACGCAGGCACGTTATAAAAATTTTTGACATCAATAGAGTTTCAACCTATATAAAGAAACAAATCTGAACGAGTGTCTATGCAAAAAGCATACATTTTATGAACCTTATATTTAAAAAAATTTGAAGTTTGATTGGTAGCCTGTGTTCATATCAGTCAATAAATGTTACTTTTTTCTTACTGCTTTGCTTTTACAAGAATTACTGAACAGTTTGTTGAACAATGTATTGCTTAAACTCTTTTTCAGATGCCCGCATCTCATTTGAAACTTTTTTCCCAATCCTACAAACAATCAGCAAGAATCGCATCTTACCATCCATGGAGGATTTCACAGAGGGATTCCGGGTGTTTGACAAGGAGCAAAATGGAACTATCTCAAGTGCTGAGTTGAGACATATCCTCACATCTCTAGGTAAAGCATTTTCATCAATGCGTTTTTGTTTCATCCTCAGGAATTATTTATCCTTTTTGGCCAGCATGACATTTATTGCTCTAAGTCTGACATCAGTAGCCTAGTGGCAATTAGGGGCCTGAGGTTGTGTCCTAGGGAAAGGCATTTTACACAAATTTTGCTCAATTCACCCATGTTGGAATAGGTACAGACAGCGAAAGATATTGTCAGTTCGTCAGCATGCTATCAGGAGGATGCACTGTTTGCTTCCCGGGAAGTTGAGAATGTTTCTGGATGGTCTAAGGTCTGCGTGGCAAATGTGTTACAATGCGGTGGAATCAGGTGCTCATCCATTTTTAGGCATGTGGATTTATTGGTACAATCTGAAAACTGATTTATTTGTCTTGCTTTCAATTATGAAATTAGCGAGAAAATGGCCGCCTAAGTTTAGTAGCTAAAGGGTCTTTGAAAAATATTTCTGTAAAATGCACATGGAAATGTGTTTTTATATGGACATAAATGAGGTTGACTCAAAAATAAAAATTTGATACAAATTTCCAAACTGGCAGAAAAATGCCTGTTTCTCCAATATCTGTATTTTCACGAGTGCCTGATTTCACCACACTGCCTCACAGATAATTGTTGTAGAGCAGATGGGACATGTGCTATAAAAATTATTATTATTACTATTATTATTATTTAATTACAAATTAGAGAGGAAGGGAAAAATGTGACTTTCTTGAAACGGATGGCGAAACATAGTTCTTCTGATCGCATGACTGTTTGGCATATTTATGTTTTCAGACAGTTTGAATATATATAGATAAACATAGCGTTAAATGGAGTTTTCTAGCTATTTAAATACTGAAGGTATCGGAGGGAAAAACAGGGCTAATTAGTTTATGCCCGAGGCCATCCATATTCTGCTTATTTTTTACATTTATGAGATTATAATAATAGCTCGTCCGTCAACGTCTGACGATATAAATCCTTAGAAGAGAGGAGACCTGTGTGAAATAAGTGCATCATATTCACCTATGAAAAATTACTTTTTCTAACGTTTTGTTATCCTCGTCCATTTGATATTGGGAACACCGAAGTAATGAGGATACTGCATTAGAATTTATAATGCTAATGCATTCGGGAAATATTGTGGGTAGTTTTAATAAAATGACAAAGACCCCAGAAATTTTAGGAAGTTGAAAATTGATCTTAGAAAGAACAGAGTAAATAGCTGTGCTCTCCAAATTTTAAAAGCCTATCCTCATTAAATGTGTAAGTTTCCTTTTCCTTTTTACATTTGCATTTTTATTGGTTTAGCTTTCCCCATTCCTATAGTGTTTTGTGTAATCAAGGGAACCTATGACAGAAGTGGGGGTATCTTTTCAAGGTGAGGCCGTCTCGATCAGGAAAATCAAGATTTGCTTTTGCTTTCATTAGCACCCACAATTTTCTGATAATTGGTCTGAAATTAGTTATATAAGAACAATCAGCTTGTGCATTGTAAACACTCAGAACCGGTATGTAAATGATCAACACTAGTGTTTCTGTGTTGTTTCATTGATTTAATGACCTCATTTGAGTTTCAGTGTGTGTTGATGACCAGATGTTATCTGGGTCACTGAAGTTCATTCTCACCTATGGTTCGTGTAATCTAGCTCTGTACAACGGGGCATCTACTGCCAGTTGCCTGTGGCAAAGATTTTGTCAGTTTGTTTTTCATCAGTGTTTACACGTTTTATTGGCTGTTTGCACTACATTTATATTTGTGAGGCAGTGTGGTGGAATCAGGCTCTCGTCAAAATAATCAAAGTGAAGAAACTTGCATTTTTCTACAGGTTTGTGAATTTTTATCAAGTTTTTTGTTTTTTGGCTCAACACCTTTCATACCAATTAAAGAACTCATTTCTGTGTCAATTTTTCTTAAAAACGTTGATTAAAGGCACAAAAAGTAAATTTTCAGTTACAACAGACTCTTAAGCTAAAGAAATAACTAATCTTTGGCAGCCATTTTCTCACTAATTTTACCTCTGAACACAGGTGACCCCCACCTCCTTCTTTCGCTAATATCTCGACTTATGTTCAAGATAAAAAGGGATATTTTTTTCATCCAAATAACGACAAGTGAACAAGCTTTAAGATGTTACCAATAACTCTACATGTGACGAGAGCCTGATTCTACCACGCTGCCTCACATATGCTTCCTGAAAAGACGAAAATGTTTCTGGTTGTTCTAGGGTCTGCTGGAGTAATAATAATGAAGTGCTTAGAGCATTGATCTCCACAATATGAAAGCGACTATCATGGTTTATCATTAGGCTTTATAAAAAATCATTGGTTTTTAATTTTTCCATCAGGTGAGAAGTTGACTGAAGATGAAGTGGACCAGTTACTTGTGGGTCAAGAAGACAGTCAGGGAAATATCCAGTACGAGGGTAAGTTGTTTTTCGCTCTGTTTTACTGGGAAACAGTTGTTTAAAAAAAAATTCTATTTCATTGTGAAAAGCTATATCAGCTGGTTTATAGTCAAAGGTCTGGGTTGTAACCTAAAGAAGGTTTCTTTCCCCTGGTTTCTTCAAATCACCAATTCCTTATAGATGCTGGGTTATCTAAGGGACCCAGTTTGTGTGAATATGTGCCTGGTGTGTGTTCCTTAAGTTACTAGCTGCTGATTATTTTGATATATTACCTTTCTTTTTTACATTTTGACCCAAAGCTTTCACTATTACTTTTGCCCAGAGAACCCCATGATTCTTCAGCGTGTCTGGCCTCAGACTCACTCTCTAGAAGCACTATCAATTGGGTTTGACCAATTATGAGTGGTTTGGGTTATTGGGAATCTTTGTCTTCCATCTAGCACTGTGACATCACAAGTGGTGAGCGATGCAGACAGCATGCAGGAACTCTATGCTCGCTCGGGGGTTCTTGAACAGTGCTGATTGTGGGTCGTTGAAATGTCCCAGCAGGCGTGTTTTGCCATGATAGTTTCTCTGGTCAAAATTGTATCAAGAAGGGATGTAAAACACTGCCAGTAATGTAGGAGTTGCCCTATTCTATATCTTTGTGCCTGACGGTCACAGTCTGAAAGTGTGAGCTCAAGTGTCTCTTCACGTTCACTAATCTTTACATTTTTTGGTACTGTTTCAGATTTCATCAAGCTGGTGATGAACGGATAAAAAGCGCTATGCTTTTCCAATCTCTTGTCAAGGGACCCAAGAGTAGTATTTTGCTTTTAGTATTTTAAAGGAAATATTACAATTACTCGCAAAATATTACCGCAACAGAAATGCATTACCTGTACATCTTCTTTAAGCTTTATATTTTTCTTAAAACTTTTTCCTTCAGACCAGGGTGTCTTGCCTTTATCTTTATCTAATACTGTATCTAACATTTGTGCTGTTATTAATGCTGCATTTGCAAAGGTGTATACTGGTAACAGAAAATGTGCTCTGTCAATTTTGAATGCAAAGTTCAGTCTTTTCTGAACCAAAGACAATATCTGTGTTCATTCCAGTGCATTTGCAAGCTTGAACTACCGTTTGAAACGTATAGTTTTGTTGCAAGCAACGGAAACATAGTACATGACTTTTTTTAAGCTTTTGTGAAATGATTGTATTGCCCAGAGTTGTAAAGTTAAACGAAACGGGACTAAGATTCACCAGAGTAATGGGGTCCACTGAGGGGTTCTTGAATAAGTGGCATGGTGTACGGAACCTGTCAAACTGCTGTGGTCTGTGTAATGGTTTGTATTATTATTTGGGTTCAGTGCAGTCATTATCGCATATTCCTGTGGCGGAAGATAAAAGCCTGTAGGATCTAAGCAGCATGTTGAAGGTGTTCAAATAAATGTGTCGGTCAAGTATTAAAAGGTTCTCGCATTTCCTATGCTTTGATATTTGAATATTCTTAATAGTTACCAGTATTCCAGTTTGCAGCTGATCGGAATTTTTTTTTAAAAAGCCAATCATCTTGAAGGTTCCTAATTAGTTGTTGTCTGTTCTACTTCTCATTTTAAGGAAGGAGTATTTTTGAGTTTCCTGGTTTAGAGTTACCCAGATAGTTCTAGAAAGTTTATCAGACCAAATGGTATCCTGAAGGATTCCTAACTGCCTTATAATCACATACAGATTAAAATGTAACATGTCTCCTGCACCATGTACTTTTTTGGGGGGATCCAGTTGGTCAACATTTTAGCTTTTTTTTTTCCTGTGAATTTTTCATCAAGAAACAAGGAGTGGCCACAAATTGGAATCATTACGTTTAAAAGTTATTTTGGTTTTTTTATCTTTGTAGTTTATTTGGTTTGGATCTGAAGTGGGTGGAATGACTATGATTGTTGAACAAGTTATAGTCCAATAAAATATATTATATATATATATAAATATAAACATTTGTGGAGTTTTTGTTGTTTTGTGCCTTCACTGTGATTATAGTTTGAATTGATCTCCACCTGCACATTTGGTAGTGTACACTTACGCCCTCATCAACACTATTTAGACCATGAAGGATGTGGTCTGCTTGATGTTACATGTCAAAACTAGCTTGGTCTGAATGGGATACAGTTTCTCCACAGGGCCACTTTACTCAATGAGAAATGTTTTCCCACGCAGTTGAACTTGTGTCATTTGTGTCAAATTTGATGGTGTATTTTTCTTTTTGTGGGGTTACAGATAGGGCTTTTCTATGGTTAGCATTGTTGAACGTCTGTCAGTTTACTTGGGTTTTTTTTGTGTGTGGGGGGTTGTTGTTGTTGTTGTTGCTGTTTGTTTTGTTTTTTTACCTGTTGGTTTGTGGGGGGGTATTTTTGGTTTATTTTCTAGCTTTGTATGACTTACAATTGTGTCACTGTGGCTCATTTTACCAGTGCCTGTGGTGTGGGGGTGAGGTTTCTTGCTTTTTCATGCAGAAAGCATGAGTTTGATTCTGAGCGTGATTCTGAGCATGTAGGGAAGTAACTTTTTCAAATATTTTCATTTTGTTTTGCTGGAGTAGTTTATCCCAGGCAGCATGTGTTTTACTTGATCTAAAATGTTCAATATTTTTTATTATAATTACATTTATTGACACAATTAAATCATTTATGGTCGGAAGCTCATCAGTGTGGGTCTCAGGGTGGGCTTTACGTAGTAAAATGCCACTACTGTCGAAAACACAAAAGAACTTTCCGTATTATAATTAGCTTATTGGCACCTTTTGAAAGACATATTAATTTATTTGTACTGTTTCAACTTAGGAACTGAGATGGTGAAGGAAATATGTGTACATAATATGGCTTTTGTCAGTCAAGGCATTCATTGTAAAGTCCTGTGAGCATTGCACATCATTGTAAAGTCCTGTGAGCATTGCACATCATTGTAAAGTCCTGTGAGCATTGCACATCATTGTAAAGTCCTGTGAGCATTGCACATGGAAGGCCGCAGTGCTGAGCTGTACCTTTGATTCTGAACACAGCCACAGATGGCGCTGAAATAAATAGGTAGTTTGAGGGCTCCGTAGGAAAACCCTACTTGTTTTTTTTTCTCTCTCTTTCTGACGGTCTATCCTGCTTTTTATTTTCCCTTACACCAATTCAACATAAAGACCTGAGTAAGTGAGTTCGATATCTGTGTGGGGAGAATTTTCATTGAGTTGTATTATATAATATTACTCTAGATCTTTTTAGTTGGACGATGATCTGAGACTGAGACTGGCCCTGACATTGACAGCCAAGGTCCAAGCCCGCTTCTTGAATTATTTATATGTAAGGCAGCGTGGTGGAATCAGGCTCTCGTCAAAATAATCAAAGTGAAGAAACTTGCTTTTTTCTGTTGGTTTGTGAATTTTATTAAAATTTTTGTTATTTTGCTCAACACCTTTCATGCCTATTAAAGAAGTCATTTCTGTGTGGATTTTTCTGAAAAACGTTGATTAAAGGCACAAAAATTGGAAATGTTCAGTTACAACGGACTCTTAAGCTAAGGAAATAACTAATCTTTGGTGGCCATTTTCTCACTAATTTAACTGGTGACACTCACCTCCTTCATTCTCAAATATCTCGACTTTTATTCAAGATAAATGGATATTTTTTTCATCCAAATAAAGACAATTGAACAAGCTTTACGATGATACCAATAACTCTACATGACCAAAAATTGACGAGAGCCTGATTCCACCACGATGCCTCACATATGGTGTCGACACCTACATGAAAAAAGAACAACAACAAAATTCATCAAGAAGTGTAAACATCCATGTGGTCAGTAGCCGACACCACTATGAAGTCACCTTCATTTATGGTTTCCCTTTTTTATGCAAAATAAATAGGAGAGAAAAAGGAATTGATAGAACTAAATATAGTGGATCTCATCTACAGGGTGATATAAAGTAAACCCAAAAAGCTCCAAATTATTTTCTGAATATCTCACACAAAAATTACTCTAAAACTAAAACGCTGTGATTTAGAACAGACAATTCATTTAAAAGGAATTTGACATAAAATCCACGAAGAAGAAACTTATTTTGAAAATGGAAGTGGCTTAAAGATAAAAGCACCCATAAACGCAAAGTTCACCATTAAAAAAAAAAAAATCTTGTAAAGGAAGTCGTGAAAAGATTGGTTGACTTTGTTCTTTATTTTCTCTTTGACATTTGACGTTCCATCCCTGTAACATTTGAACAATATTTAATTTCTTTTACTTATTAAAAAAACGATTTCATTCTGGAATTCCTAGAAGCAGTGCTCTACATGCCATCCTTTGGACTCGACTCATTTTCAACGCGTCGTTCGAAATGTTCAATGGTGCAAAAACAAAAGGACCTGCTAACCCAAGAGTGTTTAAAGCTACATGCACTGTATACATTCGGTATGAAGTGGCTTGTAGAGACAATAAGGAGTGGGGTGCCCAATAATAGACAGCAATTTTGGAGTCGACATATCGTGCAGGTTGAAAATGGGTTTTGCACTAAACCAAATGTCATCGAGGAAGTATCCCACTTTTCAAGACAAATGCGGAATCATTAATCATGAACACATTACATGTACCATGCTCTGATCCATGTCATCTCGGCCAAGGAAGATGAAAATGGTACAGTCGTAAATTAAAGATCTGCCCTCAGAATGCAGACTGTTGAGGTGTAGGAAAGTCCTAGCTGCAAATCGTCTACAGACACGTCTCGTGCGACTCGACAACTGAAATCTGCACCCTGGTGATGTAGGGCTACGCTTGGTGCGCGTTCGACCAGAAGTGGTCATTTTGGTCGAAATTTTTTGTTTAGATTCGCTATAGATCCAAACTGACGGAACTTCTCTACCTGCCCCCGCGGTTTTATGCAAAAAAAATTTCTGAGATTATGCAAACTGGGCCCAAAAATGTAAAATTATGTGATTCTGTTAATGTTAACAAAGAATGATTTCGAAAAATAATGAGAAATTATGCACACAAAAAAATCCAATTTTACTAAATTATTCGGGGTGCATAATAAAGCCACGGGGACAGCTCTACTCATGACACAAAGGGTCTTTAGGACACCTAAGCATGTTTTCCATGCCGTGCGCTGAACTTACGAAATGTCAAAGATGGTGAGTTTGTGGAGATGTAATGATCTATACAAAAAAGCTCCCTGCTCTTTGCTAAATTTAACCATGATCTCAGCAGACAAACGAGATTTGGGGAAAAATAATACACGAAGGCTACGTGCAAACTTCTATTGACTTATTACACTGCTGTAGCTTGCAATAGGGTGCGATTGTTGCAAGGTTTAGTGGTAGGCCTAATGCGAACTGATGCATCATGTTATGAAAATGGGGACACGGTTGAAAACTGATTGTTTTTTTTTAATGCGCCATAATGAACTTATCAGAAATGAATATCAGACAAAAGTTCTTTTTGGCTTCCAAATCTGAAACTCAAAACTTCAGTATGGAGGAAGATATTTACAAAACGGGTTGTATAGTTGTTTTTTATCACCCTGTATATACTGTAATTGTTTAAAAGTTAAGAGGAATTATTTTGAAAGAGTATTATTCAGTAGATATCATGCAATTCTGTGGGTTTCTTTTTCACAATTTTTCGACATTCTTAAAGTTAAAGATGCTTGATTTAAATTGTCTTTACCTATTGCCTGTGTCCAGGGAAGGTCATAGGATTTAGGAAG